TAAAAACGCTTGTCCCACCAAAGGGCAAGGTTGCTGTAGCAAGGGCTACAGTTAAACTTTGTGGTACTAGGTGGATAGACTAGATATTTCTGCACTCCCATCGATCCCCTTAGAGGGAGGCGCCGGTGAACTTTTGCACGTATATATATGTAGGTCGAAGAGTGACGGAAGATTTGGTATGGGCGTTTTTCGCAACGAACTCTCCTTTAGTCTTATAGTAAGGTCTCCTGTTCACTGCAGTGTTTTCTAGCCAGATGTAGCTGCCATTAAGCACGAAGTCGATTGGCTGCACAATTGTTCAACAACGAAAAGGTTGGTAAACATCCACTCCTTTGCCCATGACGCCGCTTATCGTGCGCTTTTATACAGCAAGGGAATGCTGAGTCCGTCTAATTAGTTCCTAGTTAGACTTTTAGGGGCGGCAGGCCACAGGGATATTGCAGGAAATTCCACTGCGGATGAGTTGGCCAAGAAAGGTACCCTCGAGTAGATCTTACTGCTAAAAAATATAGGTATGTATCTTTGACTACTTGCGGACTGCTTTTGCACATATGAACCTAATGCTAGCTCAACGAGTGCTGGGAAACAACAAGACGTTTGCATCCACAATGTCTTCTTGCTCGAAGGTGCGCCGCAGGCGGTCAAAGAGATCTTCTTGGGTTCACAGAGTCGAAACTCGCAATCGTCGTAATCTGCTATTAACAAGACAATGTCCGACGGATATTCACAAAGGAGAGGCTACATATCGCACTGAATCCTCACTAACGCACCTGCTTTGAGTACGATGGGTGGGACTCCTCCCAACACTAAATGTGTCTTAAACTGCTCGGCTCTTGATGGGCTACCGCCTAAATACCTTGTATTACACTTTTCAAATGGTTTTGAGGACCTTCCCGGATTTTGAGCGAATCATATTCATTAGAAGGAAGGGAAACTGGTCTGGAGTGCGGCTTTTTAACATGTATGTAAGTATTGAGGCAAAGTAATTGGCATGCATCTCAGCCTGAAAGTTATCGTTAGCTTTTTTTGAGTTTGGCCCGCATGGAATTCACTCTGTCTTCTTCCACCAGACAGGCGTGGCATGTATTAGGATGGGTTTGGAAATGTTACCGGACCTCTATCTTTCCAGTTTGGGTTTGATGCCTTAGTTGCTTCCCATTAGCTTTCGGTAGGTCCAAATAAAGCGATAAAATTTCCATGTATTTGACCTACTTAGAGAAGTGTATCCTTTCTCCTTGAAGAAGTAGATATAGAGAGATTCACCTCCCTGTCTGTGCCCTTTCATAGCTATAAATCTGGCTCTTTTCTGGTCTAGAGTGGATGTAATGGTTTGTGTTTAAGGACTCCTTTGCGCCGAGCGCATTTGAGTCGTGTTATCGAAAGCACCCGCTACGTCTAGAAAGTTACCTGTACGCAATGTTCTCCATTTCATACAAACTAACTAACATTTTCGTACCGGTTTTTAATATACTTTATAGAATTTAAATAAATAAATAAAATTTTGCGTTTGAAATTCTGAGGGGCATGCGCGATAGATCCTCCTGGAAGATAGGCATACTTATCTATTTAAGTTAGTCAATTTTTCGTATAAGTTTTTCTTGAAGTGTATGTAGGAATAAACGCTTGTTAATGTTTGTTTTTTTTTTTGTAATAAGAAGCTCATATTCTACTTGAGCAAACAATGAATTCTCGCTGCAACCGATTTACTTAAAACATAAACAACGCGAATCTTAGATTTCATGTGAGTGGAAATCATAAATTAATTACATACATACGAGTACATACATAATTGTAAACAAATAAATAAAATAATTGATCCACTGTCCAGCTATCGGCTTTGACGGGATTATAAAACGACAAAGCGCATTCCAACTTGCAATCAGTTCGTAAACAGTGCTCAAAGTGAAAATCTAAACTCTTTTCTTCAACGCAACTTGAACTTAGAAAAAACAAAAAAAAAAATAACAAGTAATATGAAATTGTTCGCTGCTGCTATTGTACTTGCTTTCGTCGCCGTCACTGTAGCCCAAAATGTTGGTATTTGCATTATTAGAAAATTTAGTTAGGCTTTCAATTAACATTTTTTATACACAACAGCTTTAAAAATTATACTTAAATTTAACTATTATTGTATCCTATCCAACTTTAGGCTCCCAGATTGAGCTTGGATCAGATGCTAAAGGTCATAGCTTTGGCTGATGAATGCACCAAGGAGACTGGCACCAGCAAGGAGGCCATATTGGCATTGCAACAGGGTGATTTCAGTCAAGTTGATGACAAAGTGAAGTGCTTCAGCAAGTGCTTCCAGGAACGATTGGGCTTCCTAGTAAATGGTGCTGTCAATGAGGAGGCTGTGCAGAAGTCGTTGGGTCCTTTGGCTGGTGAAGAGAAAGTGAAGGCAATTCAAGCTAAATGTAATGGTGTAAAGGGCGCCGATGACTGTGACACCGCGTTTGAATGGTATAAGTGCTATTATGAGGAAAAAGGTCTTGCATAAATTACATGTAGCATAACAATTTGTTGGGCCAATGATAAAAAAAGTTTAAAAACTTTTAATAAAATTATTAAATATCTTAACTTTTGCTTGCCTGTTGCTGCCCTGTTGATTTTCTCGGAAAAACTGAGGCTTACAAGGTACAGGGTAAAGCGAGGATTATGAACTGGTAACGTCTACCGCAGAGGCCATGTAAAGGAGCACAAAATCTGTATCGCATTTTTGGTGAGCGAGAAGCTTTTGTCGCACAGTACAGTATGACTATCAGTCCACAGTGGCATTGTAGAAAACTGCTTGCCAGATGAGTTGATGAAGAAGGGTATCCACGAGTCTTTCTCATTGGGAAAGAAGCGGGATGAGTGTATTTGACTTAATGTCAGATCAGGAAGCACCCTACTTGCCCAAGTACGAAGCTTTTCTGACTGAGTATGTTCCGCATACGGGCTGGGGATCTTCTTAGGTGTCCAGTTCCGCTGATGGGTGTTTTAGTTGGTCAGTTTACAATTGGATTTCACATAGTGAGATTAAATATCACAACTCATCCAGTCTATCGCAGCTTACTTTTGGAATAGTCTCTAACACCTTTTTCGACACTTCTTCTTATTTGGCACTACAACCGTTTGTCGGTTTGGGCCGAGAGCAAAAAGCTTCACCAGTTGCCTTCCTCCTTTGCGAGTTTGCGCCAGTTGTTCATTCCAAATGCGGACAGGTCCTTCTCCACTTGGTCCTTTCATTGTGTTCGTAGGCGACCTGTCTTGCGTCATCCATGCGTACAACATTTGCAAGCCAGCGCAATCGTTGTATTTTATGCCTTTAACTATGTCCATGTCGTTATAAAGCTCATACAGTTCGTCATTCCATCTTCTTTCGGTACTCGTCGCCCATAGATAATGTGTAAAAAAGTTATCAAAGCCTTCTCATCTTTGTTAGACAACGTCTATGTTTCTGCGCTATATAAAATGACAAGCATGATGAGAGACTTGTAGAGCGTGATTTTTGTTCGAAGTCCCCAAGAGTAGCCCAAAGTACACCGGCCAACAAAAATGAAAAAAAAATGTTGGTGCCTCAAATGTTAAAGCTATTTTTGATAGACTTTTTTGTGCTGATTACGAATCCGTAAGTACAAAGGATCCAACACGTACAGGTTTTGAGAAAATCGAGGTCAAAGTGTCAAAAAATCGGGCTTTTGCAATATTTCAGAAGCTCTAGCAAAGAGCAAAAAGGTGATAGAACCTTCCACTTAGGCTTAGATTAAAGCAAGAACCCTCGACTACTATCCTTGAAAATACCATTCCTGCACATTGAATTTATGGTAACTTATAGTCATTTATTGAGCATTAAAATTTGACTTTTGGCGAAGTTTGAGTCCCTGCCGCAATTAAACAAAAGGGGATAGAAACCGTCCACTTAAGCTTAAATTAAGGCTTGAACTTTCGACTACAATCCCGAAAAATACCATCTCTTTGTCTTGACCCTAAGATCACTTATAGTCGTTTATTGAACAGCAAAAACTGATTTTGGCCAGCATTTTTTTGCAGGTGAAGGGATGGTATTTTCAGGGGCAGTAGCCTAGGGTTCTAGCTTTAAGTTAAGCCTAAGTGGAAGGTTCTACCACATTTTTCGCTCTTTGCTCGAGCTTCTCAAATATTGAAAAAAACCCAATTTTTTGACACTTTGACCACGATTTTCTCAAAATCTGTACGCGATGGAATCTTTATAATTACGGATTCGTAATCAGCTCAAAAAAGTCTATCAAAGACAGATTTAACATTTGCCGCACCAAAATCAGTGTTGCCCTGTGTTATTCTTTGCTTTATTTTCAGACTAACATTATAAGTGGTGTTTATGCTGGATCTTATGTAGACGAAGCCCTTCACTACTTCAAAAATGTGACTGCCAACAGTGACGGATGTCCCAAGATGTGCTGTGAAAGTCTGAACTAAGGTGGAATTACCAGATAAGGTCCAATCAGTTTGTTCGTGAAGTGCTTCAGTCTTTCACACAGTATCGTCGACAGTACCTCGTATGCAATATTAAGAAGGCTTATTCTTCGATAATTGGCGTAAACGGCGGGATTTCCCTTCTTGTGGATTGAACAAAGTACGCTGACATTCCAGTCTTCGGGAATGTATTCATCAGATCAAATCTGCTTACTTAATAGCTCGTACAATCACCCGACCAGATCTTGGGCGCCTCCTCACTTCGTCCTGATTAAATATAGGGACGTGAGTTTCGTCTCTATACATTGATTCGGGTTCCTCTTCATCAAACGTGCCGCCTGTATCATCTTTCATAAGCTGTGAGAAGTGCTGCCTTCATATCTCAAGAGTACTCTGCACATCTGTTACCAAATTTCCTTCTTCATCTCTACAGGAACCAGCCCCGGTTTTGAAACCATTTGGGTGCTGCCTTATTTTGTGATAGAATTTCCGAGCCGCATTCCTGTCCGCCAGAATCTCAAGCTCTTCTCATTCACACCTTTCTGCCCCTCGTTTTTTTATATTTTTTTTAATAGACTGTAGACTCAAAATCTTTGATGGCTCTTGATACCCGGCTCTGAAGAGCTCGCTTAACTGAATCACTATAGATAAGCAGTTTTCGTTCAGTAAATAGTGTTATCACAAAGGATTGCTTCAAGTGTGTCCCTTATAAGAGGCAACCACTTTAGCCAATCGATAATTTAATAATTCGTATCGTTCCTATCACCCCTTTGGTTAAAGGGACAACCCCTTTTATAGAGAAAGCACCACAAAATCTAGTGAGGATGCACGAGTGACAAGGTGAACTACGCAAACGAAAGTTGTAAGATGAAGTGCAAGTCAATGGTCGAAAACTCTAGGTAGTTCATTCGAGAAAACGTTGCCGTCTTACCAATCCATGAGAGATCACTGTAGTAAGCTTCAACGCAAGTTCTTTTATTTATGTATGTTAATTTCATTTATTCTGCTTTAAACCACTTCTGGACGAAAAAGTTGCTCTATTTTGTACAAAACAACCCGCAAGACAAAAGCAAGTTAATGCAGACATATGTGTCTATATATTTCTCTTTACAGGTGTATTTATATCTACATACTTATACATATCTACAATAGCAGGTATACCAAAAAGTAAGCACTACAACTTTTACTTCGAAGTATGTACATACTGACATTGTATTTTCAATTTGTCTTCGCACGCGGCTCTCGACCTAACATTGCGTGCGTTCGCGTGTGTACGCAGACAAATTAAAAACAAATAAGACCCGTTTTTAAGAAGAAAATAAAGCAGCCAACTGTTGAGTAGCCGACCAACCCTCGAATCAAATCAGTGGATGGAATACATTTTCACTTATAAAACATAAAATGATTAACCACTTAATATTTAATTTTATAATTTTTGATCTTTTATTTATAAACTAAATAGATGTTTGTATTTTTTCTTATACCCTCCTTTAGAGCACTGCATAAGACGTAGAAATGCTTCAATATCTCAAATGTTCTGCTGAAAATACCCTACTCTAAAAGCAAGTGTTTTCGACCAAACAGTTTAACCTTTAACCTCTCTTCCTTTTTGCAGCTTTCTTTGCTACAATATGTAGGCAAACGGACAATAATCAAATCGCTTGGGAAATATTTAAGAGCTTAATGCCAATACTCGTACATACTGTACAAATGCAAACAATGAAATTCGGCACGACAAAAGGTAGCGCCCGATGGTAAGCGGGCGGAAAAAAGTAAAGTGGGCGGCGCGCGACGCGACTCTTACGTAAATAGACATAAATTTTTCATAAACTTTTGCATGCTCATTAAAAATTCGATTAATCGCTTGTTTCCACTCAATAAACTCTTCGAAAATAAACTCGCAAAACAATAATCAACTCCAAAGCTGCCACAAACCAGCATACTTCAACTACTTGCTGCAGCACAGCAAAAAACAGAGAAGAAAAAGAAATGTAGGAAAGGGAGGGAGCTTGGGACAAAGAAATTGTAAACTTCCACTTTCGAAATGCTAGAAAATGCTAAAAACATTGGCAATAAAAGCTATGCCATGAAATTGTTCGTTGCAAAGCGCACAGTGGTTGTGGCGCGCGGGACATGCCACGTAATGTCGTCGAAAATGAAAAGCAAACAATTAATGAAACGAAATGTCAACAAAACTCAATCAAAACGCACTTAAAAATGCACAAGGCTTTATCAGCTTAAGCATGCGTGTATGTATGTGTATGTGCGAATGCCTGAGTTTATGTGCAGTTGGGTATTGCTAAAGCTAAAGCATTAGCGTCGAACCGGGGTTCAGCTGACGGCTGTATCCGATTGGTAAGGGCTGATGCAGTCACTTTTTTTTGTTGTTGTTCTTGTTCTTGTTGGTAATTTAACTGCAAAAGTAAACAAATCCGCGTAAGTCAAAGCAAAAGTAGCAGTAAAAATAGAAACAGTAATGGCAAACAAATAAACCAGAGGCTACAGCGAAAGAGGATGGAGCGATTCGGTTGTGTTTCAGCGCAAGGCCACAAATACATATACCTAACTACATATGTTCTACCTTCCTCAGATTTCAATAGCTGCGAAAAAAATTTTGCGGGTTTATGCTGACAATTATTTTTGAAATTTCGCGAATTGAAAAAAATGGAAACTCCAAAGCTTAAACACCATTTCTGCATCAAAAAGCTATAAAAGCTCACTGGAAGAGCTTTTTCAAAGTTTACCGAGAAAGTTTTTTTTTTAAGCTTTAAAAGTCAAGCACAATTAAGCTAAGGCAAATTCAGAAAAAATGTCAGCCGTTAAATGTCAGCTAGTTAAAAGAAAGCAAGTGAAATAACTTTGAAGTTTTTTGTTATTAAGTGAATTTGTAAAATCATCGTATATACATAGAAAATTAAAATTAGATTAAACATTTCCGAAAGCTCTCTGAAAGAGCTTTTACGAAATTTCATAAGAAGCTTGGCCAAAAGGTCGCATGTTGTGCTAAACGAAGGAATGAAAAATATGTACATAAAAAAAAAAAGAACTTCCAACCATTTCCTC